AAAGTCACATCTCCCATTCCATCTCGCTGTGTCCACTTAGGTAAACGCGCCTCATAAATACTTGAATACTCCTTAGAGTTAGCGCTTAGGCACTTGTGCATCCATTTACCAATGTAATTGACTGAGCACTGAGCAGAATTGACATTCGTATAAAAGATAAATGTGGTTGCAAATGCAATTTGCTAATTCTTGTCCTAATCGTACACTCATTCTTTTGTTCCCATTACTTTTAGATCAAACTAGATGGTATGGTATGCTATCTAAGCCTTGATTTGCTGCTATTCATGTGAAGTGCAGCGTGTGTAATGACTGACCTTTGACAGTTACACTGCTGGCCTTCTTCAATGCTAGATGCAACTATCAATGACTCGTCCCTAACATTGAATGGTTGCAGATTTTAGGCGAAGCAACATAGCTGTGTTACAAGGCCTGATTTCGTTCAGAAGATGAGACCAAACACTTACAGGCTGAGGCATTCGTAAACACAAGCGTTGATTAATTATTTGGCAGAATAAGGTAAGGTTGAAGGTGTTTGCAGAATCTAACCCACATGAGGGCAATTGGATGCGTTTACCAGGAGGAATGATCATGCAAGCAACTTCAGTTGAGTCACAAAGTAAACGATGCCTCTGCAGAAGACATGTGGAGGTTTGAACCGAGTCAAAAGGGATTATTTAATGGGGGTGAACTTTGTGTTCTGTAATGTTTGAGAATTGCAAAGCACTTGATTACCTCTAAGAACACGAAAGCATATCGTATCCGGCCTTAGATTAGAGAGAGATTCATCGCGTTTCCACCAACTCAGTACGTTTGAAACCATACAGCTTGATTCGCTTGGTATTGCTAATGTCGTGACGTATTTACACGCGTTCGAACATCACATGGACCTAGAAAATGCCCCACTCAGTCTTTCCCAATTTGGTTTAGAAGGCATCTGTCATACACATTGCGGCAATAAGGAAACAGTGGATAATTTTTGATGTTCTTTTAATTTTAACAACAAACTCTAAGTGAAATCTGCCTATCTTGCCTACTTTACTGAGAGCTCAAACAGCTGACCCGCAGTTATTTGGACACACATGCACGTTGAATAAGTGAACTGCTGACGCTAGGGCACGTATGCAAGTCGGTTTTCTACAACTAACCCAAATAAAGGAGATGCTAAGGACGAGTGATGTAACTAAATACGACTGAAGGTCGAACAGCAGCCG